GCCGCCCGCCTGCTGCACGCGGGGGGCGCCTGCCCGCCACGGGCCTGTCGCGCCGCCCCGCGGCACACGTCTTTAGGGGGCCACAGGCGAACCCTACCCCTACCCCCCACCATTTCGGAGGGGGAGGGTGGGGTTCACTTCGTTCGGGAGGTCACGAGCGAAGTGAACCCCACCCTCCCCCTCAAAAAATCGTGGGGGGTAGGGGTAGGGTTCGCCTGTGGCCCCCTAGTCTTGCCACGGGGGGGGGCCGAAGGGCCGAGGCCTGCCGCCTGCCCCGCCAGCTCCGCCCAAGCGCCGCCTGCCAGGGGTGCGAAGAAGGACAGGTCAGCACGGGCGTCACTGAAGGGGCCCTGGGACACACAAATAAATACACACACAAATAAAAAGATTCCCCATATTTTCCCATATTTTCTGGGTTTTTGTCCTCCCCCCCCACTTCCCATATTTTCCCATATTTTCTGGGAGTCGACGATTAATTGTGTCTGTGTGTGTTTTTCCCCTCCTGAGTCACAGTCGGAACTGACAGGCAAGGACTCGCGATCAGCATGCAAGAGGCCCTTGGAGGCCCGTCGTTGAGCTTGCTCGAGCGCGGCGGGCCATCGAGAGTAGTCAGCGATGGCCAAAGAGGCACAGATGCAAGGGTGCCCTTGGGAGGGTTACCCATCCTTACCGGTGTCCTCTGTGTGAGGAGAATGCTGGAGGCCTCGAGCGGAAACTTGAGACGTCGCAGCTGCGTCGGACTTACCATCGCCGCGCGAACGTCGATCCATACCGTGCGCCGCCCGAGGCTTCCCATGTGTTCCTCGCAGTAAACGTTTAAACTTTCGAAGGACTGAGCGGATCTCTTGGACCTGCGCCGCCGCACCCCACTCCCAGGCGCGCGGAGCGCGCCAGGGGCGGCGCGGGAGGCTCGGGGATCTACTGACCTGGGTCAGTCCAGACCTGGGCCAGTCGGGCTTTGAAAGTCCTGCAAGAGCCTGCGGGTTCCTGCGCAAACCTGGGTCAGTGCACCCCTGGCTCTGCAGGATCCTGTAAGATCCGACGCTCTGGCTGACCCCCGTTTGCGTGGACCCCCGTCTCTGGAGGCCCGAGAGGCGCCGCCGACGGGGGGCCCAGCACAGGTCCCAGAAACCCGCATTCAGCTGCGAGAGCCCCTGCCTGTGCAGACATCTCCTTCTTCGGGTACTGCCACGTGTGTGCTGCGAGGGTGCCAGGACCCAACGACGGCGGCTCCGGGCACACGCGCCGGCGGGCGCGTCCGCGCGGCGCCCCGGAAATCGGGCCCCAGAGAGCGTGCGCGGCGGGCCAACTGGTGCAGCGCCGCTGTCTCGAGGAGAGTCGGCTACGCGCAAGAGTGACCCTAGGTGAGAGGGACCGTTGGTGCTCGGCGCAGGGGGGGGCCCTTTGGGGACATCCCACCAGGCGCGCAAGCCGCTGCCATCGCATCGCAGTCAGCGATCGGGGGGCCCCACTGGGCCCGCACCAGAGGTCACTCCAGCCAAAGGTCACTCTTACGTGTGGCCGAGAGGGCCGCCGGGCCAGCCGCAGGCAGTCACCACAGCGCCGGCCTCACGAACTTGGTGGGAAATTCGGGGGTGAGATCGCAGTGGAACGGAGAGCCCCCCACCAGCAATCGCTTTCGGCTTCGTGCTCGCGTCGCGCGCGCGGGCGAGGCCAAGCTGCGTGGGCGCGCGAGAGGAGTGACCCCGCCGCCGCTAGGGCGATTCGGATGCAGTGGACCGCCCCTCCGCCCCCATTGGGCGCGCGGTGGCCCGGGGTGTCCCGCCGTGGGGTCCTGTGGTGACCCGTCGGTGACCCGTCGGTGTCCCGTCGGTGCTGTTCGGCGGCGGTGAGCGGGCGGTGGGCGGGCGGTGGGCGGGGTTGTCCCGCCTTGGCATCGATGGGGAAGTCGATGGTGAGATCGATAACGAGCTCGCTAGAACGGGATGGACAGTGAGATCAAAAGTGAGATCGACAATGAGGTTGATTATGACATTGGTTGTGAGATCGATGGTGAGATCGACAGCGAGATCTGTAGTGAAATATATAGTGAGATCGATAGTGGGATCAATGATGAGATCGATCGAGTGGAATCGATCCTGTGAGATCGATAGTGAGATCGATCGAGTGAGATCGAAAGCGAGGACGATAGTGACATTACATCGCAGCGCAACATCGTCGACAGGCGTCGTCGCTAACTCGAGTGCGCGTCACAAGATTCGTCATCATCACGCTCATCGCATTGGCCAGCAGCTGGTTCTTGCCTCCCCACCCCCCAACCTCCTTATCACCCGAAGGGTCGTCTTATAGGTAAACAGTATTCGAACGGCAGAATCGGTTGAACTCTGCAAAAGATGTCGGCCCGCAGATCTCGGCCCCGAAGACATGGTAGCGGTTGGGTTGTTCGTTCGGCGCCGAAGGAAATGCCTGTTGCGCCGACCCTTGGTGTGCTCGCCCATCGTCGATTCTCCTCGGATTTTGTGTTGGCGCCAGCGTGCGCTTGTCCACTGAGACTCTCCAACACGACGCAGTCGGCGCAACGAGGCCCGACATGGGCTGCGCGATGTCGGCGAAGCCGAGCAGGGTAACACACACGTCCTTGAGATGACGCATTATCCTGAGGATCATCTCGGGGGGACGAAAGGGTAGGATGACAAAGGGTAGGGCCAGGGCAGGGCAGCGAATCGGCGCACGCAGCTGGCTTTCCTGGCGCCTCCCGGCGCCAGGAGGCGCCCATGCAGCGAGGAATGGGCCCGGCGGCGGGGCCGAAACCAGCTGCGTGCAGCAGCAATTGTGAGGAGGAGGAGGAGGAGGAGGAGGAGGAGGAGGAGGAGGAGGAGGGGGAGGAGGAGGAGAAGGAGGAGGAGGAGGAGGAGGAGGAGGAGGAGGAGCGAGGAGGAGCGAGGAGGAGGAGGAGGGGGAGGAGGAGGAGGAGGAGGAGACTTCGTAACCCCCCCTCTCCCTGTCCTGCAGTTTCGTCCCGCCAGATCATCGACATATCGGCCTCTGGTGTGTTAAGTCGGGCCTATCCTCTGACAGGGGGGGGAATGTGGCGAAACATATGTTTAACAAAATACTCCAAAATGCTCAAAAATATCTTGTATATTTTGGCTGTTTTTTGTGTAAAAAAATGTCTCCCGACTATTTTTTGGGACTAGTTTTTTGAATATTCCTCCTGTAGAGGGACAGGCCCGACTTAACTCTGGCGGTCTTTGGCGCTCTGTGGCGGTCCTCCGGCGGGTCCTCCAGCGGTCCTCCTCGGCGGACTCCGGCACGGCAGCTGGGCGGCTGCGTGGCACCGGGGGTCGTCCAAAAGCGAGCGCCAAAAATCCCGAGGGCCCCCAAGAACTCAGGCGCTGGATCCGTGAGCCTGGCATGCAACAGTGGATTATGTCGACCCCCACATCCCCAGGACGAAAGTTTGTCCCCCTTGGGCCTGGAACGACGGTTTGAAGTCTCGAGCAGACGCGTTTGAGATGGTGTCGGGTTTGCTTCGGTGGATCCGATTTCCGTCCGCCCAGATCCGACATTGGATCTTTGGATCTGCGTCTGGCCTTGTTTTTAACGGCGGATTCGATTCCTACCCCGCTTTAAACTTATATTACTGAATAAGAACGGGGAACCGACCGAGATCGGATCCGCGGGCCTCGGAACCCGCCCGTGTTAGAATTCTACAGGGGAAGGGGGTTTGGTCATCAACGACCCAGGATGGGTCATGTGCTGTCTGAAGCGCTCCAACCAACTTTCTGCGCGCGAGGGCCCCACTCAACATGAATGTATCTCTCTCCTCCTTGACGAGCTGCACGCAGCTCGTCCAGACGCCGTCCGTTCGGCGGCGCCGATGATATCTGTCGAACTCATCATCGTCATTCTCACCTCAAAAGGAAAATCTTTCGTCCTGCGTGAGTATCCCTGGTTTGGAGAGGTTTTCGAGTGGACCTAACATTTGGGGCCCAACCCTGGGATATACTGGGGGGGGTCGTCCATCCTGGACAGGAGTGCGTCCGAATAGCCCCCTGGGGGTGTTTCCCAGGGTTCCCCTCCTCTTCTTAACCGCTTCATTTTTCGTCGAAGAGTCGGGGGCTGGGATAGAAACATCGCCTGCGACGTTCCTCGATGGATCCTGCCAGCAGAGCGGTCCCTTGCCATGCCTGCAGTCGGAGCCAGGCGAAAGCCTCCATGGCAGCGGGGGGGCCCTCCAGCGGGGTCGGGCAACGTTCCGACCATGGCGATCCAGGCGGCTTCTCGGAGCCTGGCGTGTCCGCCATGGGCCTGGACATCCGGCGGCCAGAAAAAACTGACGCCCTGTTGGGCCTCTGGAGACGGTTTCGGACCCCGAAGCCGGCAAAGCAGTATCCATCAGGCCTTCCGCGCGAAAGCTGGAAGTCACCTAAGAAACCCTTGATCATACTCGACCGAATAAGCCCTTGATTCGGTAGGGCGTCGGTGGTGACAACCTGTGGCGGCCCGACACCAGAGTCGGAGGACGCTAGAGTCCCCAGAGCTACCTTCGAACACATCCCCCTCTCCCATCCATTCCCTGCACTGTGTACGGCCCCACTCGTCCCGCCCTCGAAGCATTGAGCTGGTGACAGCAGGCCAGACAGGCGGGCAACCCGCGGCTGCGGGGGCAAGTCGCACAGGCTTGAGGCCCGTCGCAACGTGGCCTCGCCTGCATCTGCGGCGACTATGGCTATGGCAGCGACGTTGTCGGCAGCGGCACTTGTCTCATTGTCGCCGTTGTCCCGGTGTCGCTACAGTTTTCAAGTAAATGGGGTGAGCGAACTACAGAGAGAGCGGCAGGTAGGCTGGGTCTGGAGGGAAAGGGAAAGAGGGCGAAAGTGTATCCTGGACGAGGGCCCACCGCCGACACAGGCATCGCGTGAACATGGCAGCGCTGGCCATCTCGGCTTCCACCACGCTAGAATAATGAAAGCCGCAGCCTTGAAGCAAATCAAACGGCATGGCGCTGCCCGAAGCAGACGTCTGTAAGCGCCACCATGCCTTTTGCAGCGAGCCTGCTGAAGACACAGCTGGCAGCAGATGCTGGCATCACACACGACGTTCTGGAAAGTGCAGCGCGAGTGATCACGCTCCTATGCTCAGGCGAGGCGAGCGGCAGCCATGCGAGATTGGACAGTGTGGGCAAGACTCGCTCAACGAGCACCACCGAAACCACCCATGACCCAACAGCAACAGCATCACCTCGAATCTTCATGGTTTGGTGGCGATATCTCCTTACTCCTTTCATTTTGCTACTCCGCCACCGTGATGCGAGGCAGCGCCACCGTGCCGCGAGACACTGGGTGGAGCCCGCATCAAGTCCTCAAGAATCCCCAACCCCAATGCTCCGTATTGAATAGTGCACGCTTGGCCGAAACACCCAATTCACGGATTTCCTTGAATTTCCTGAGTGCGTTTTTAGGCCTCGTCTCAAGACTTTTCTTAAAACCAGAAGGCCCGCGAACGAAACGGCCCAAGAGGCTCCGAAGAAATCCCAAAGACGGCCCAAAAGGCACCAGATATGGTTTTTGAACGCTCCAACACGCCTTTGATTGTCCCAGGATGACCCCTGAGGTCGAGGTGGCCCAAGAGGACCTAAAAAGGGGCCCCGAGAGGGCCACACGAGGCAGAAAATGTCCAACCCCTTCTGCACGTGAAACGACTGTTCATATGAGCGCTGTCTCAACAATAGCACATTGCAAGATATGCAGCACCCGGGAAGGCGACGCGAAGCGATGTCGGGCCATGACGCACGGCGCACACCTGCGCAACATAGAGCAACGGACAGAGCAGCAGGAGGAGGATGCCCCCGCCCCAAAGCGGCCGATGTTGCCCCCAATATCGCTCAAAGATGGCCCAAAAGGCCCCCACGAGGAAGGCTGCCAAGAGGGTAACGAGCATGCCCAAGAGGCCTCCAAAAGGGCTCCCGAGGGGCCCCTGAGAGGCCCCCAGCAGGGGCCCTACAAAGGAACCCGATCTGACATTTCGAGCCCTCCGCCCCCAGAGGACCCCTGAGACCGCCAGCAGGCTTCCAAGAGGCCCCCGAGAGGCCCCCAGGAGGTCCTAAGAGGCTCCCCAGACACCCCCAAGAGGCCCATAAAGGTTCAAAGGCCCAGGCCGCGTTAGCCCGCCTGGGCTTTCACTCGCATGGCCGCTTGAACCCGCCTGGCACTGGTAGCCCGCGTTGTCGTTTTCACCCGCCTGACCGTTTTCACCCGCCTGGCCGTTTTCACCCGCCTGGCCGTTTTGTTTTAACTCGCCTGGCCGTGTTAACCTGCCTGACGTTTGAACCCGCCTGTCCGCGTTAATCCACCTAGCCCTTTTAACCCGCCTGGCTGTTTCGACCACCTGGCCACGTGGACATCCTCGGCTGTTTTAAGAAGCCTGACCGTTGTAAGTCGCCTGGCCGTTGCAGCCTACCTGGCCGCTCTAACCCGCCTGGCAATTCGAACCAGCCGTTTTAACCAGCCCAGCCGTTTTAACCCGCCTGGTCGTTTTAACCCCCCTGGCCGATTTAACTCGCTTGGCCGTTTTAACCAGCCTGACCGTTTTGAGCCGCCTGGCATTTTGAACAAATCTGGCCGTTTTACATCGCTTGGCCGCTTGAACTCGCCCGGCCTCTTTCACTCGCATGGCCGCTTGAACCCGCCTTGCACTTGTAACCCGCGTTGTCGTTTTCACCTGCCTGGCCTTTTTCACTCGCCTGGCCGTTTTCACCCGCCTGGCCGTGTAATCCACCTGGTCGTTTGAACCCGCCTGTCCGCGTTGATCTGCCTAGCCATTGTAGCCCGCCTGGCCGTTTTGAAGCCGCCTGGGCGTTTTTACTCGCTTGGCAGTTTTACATCGCTTGGCCGCTTGAACTCGCACGGCAGCTTCAACCTTCAACTCGCATTGCCGCTTGAACCCGCCCGGCAACTGTAACCCGCGTGGCTGGTGTCACCCGCCCGGCCGTGTTGACCCGCCTGGCCGTTTTCACCCGCCGGGCCGTTTTAACCCGCCTGAACGTTTGAACCCGCCTGACCGCGTTAATCCCCCTAGCCGTTTTAACCCGGGCGCGCGGGGTGGGGAGGGGGCGGCGCCGTGCCAGAATTGAGGGGTCGAAGCGGGGGGGGCGCGCCGGCCGGCGGACGGGGCGACGGAGGCGGCGCTCGGGATGGAGGGCGCAGCGCCGTGCCGCAATAGAGGGGTCGGGGCGGAAGGGGCGCGCGGGCTGGCGGGCGGGGCGACGCGAAGGGGGCGCCCGTGCCGAAAGGTCGGGGCGGAGGGGGCGCGCTGGTTGGCGGGTGGGGCGACGCGAAGGGGCGCGCGGGATAGGGGGCGGGGGGGGGCGGCGCCGTGCCCAAATAAAGGAGTCGGGGCGGAGGGGGCGCGCCAACTGGCGGACGGCGTGACGCGGAGGCGGCGCGCGGGATGCGGGGGGGACGGCGCCGCGCCGAAACAAAGGGGCTGGGGCGGAGGGGGCGCTCCGGCTGGCGGGCGGGGGGATGCGGAGGGGGCGCGCGGGATGGAGGGGCAGAGCTGCGCCGAAATAAAAATTTCGGGTTGCAGGGGGCGCGCTGGCTGGTGGGTGGGGCAACGTGGAGGCGGCGCGCGGGGCGAGCATGGGGCAGGGGGGGCGGCGCCGCGCCGAAATTAAAGAGTCTGGGCGGAGGGGGCGTGCTGGCTGGCGGGCGGGGCGATGCGGAGGCGGCGCGTGGGATGGGGGGGGCGGCGCTGCGTCGAAATAGAATGGTCGGAGATTTGGACACCCTGCACAAGAGAAAAGTGTCATACCATCCCAGCCAGGCCGATAAAAGCCCCCCCTCGTCCTTTGCAAAAAACCTACGCGCGCACACCCGTTGATAAAAAAACACAAGTGCTCAAGAACTCCTTGCAGAAGAAAAGGGGGCGAAGCGCAAACGCGCGCGTCGTCGCGCGCGCACGCCAAAATCCTTAACGAACCTTAAGATTCGCAAGGATTCCAAAATCCAGCGGCCCGACAACAGATGCAAACACATGGATCCGCAACCAGAATGTTCAACACAACTGTGCGATCGCGGTCTTGGCGTTCTTACGAAAACCACTTGTATCTCAACAACATAACGAAACGCTGCCACGAGAACCTCTCGCGTGCGCGCATGTCGGAATCATTCGAACGCCCTTGCGCGCGCGTTGTCGCAACAATCCGTCAAGCAAAAAGACGAAATTCACACGCGCGCGTCGTCGGACGCGCATCACGCAACCCTTCAAACAGTTCGGGTTCCGAGCGCCGCGGAAACGCATAGAAAAGAAACGATTGTTCAACGTGAATTTTCAAACGCGAGCGCCTTTGCGAGCGTGCTGGGTCTCGCGCGTCGGCCACGCGCGCATGTCGAACTCATTCCGAAACCTCCATCACCGACGCGAAGACGCCATGATCGCCGCCGGCGTGATCAACATCAGCGCCGTCACTGGCTGTGCCACCGCCGTTGTCATCATCGTCACCAGCGTCGATACTTCCATGGTCGTGTCTACCGTCGTTGACGTTGCCATGATACCGCGCCGCCCAAGTGGCCGACTCGCACTAAAGTACCCGCTAGGAAGTGCCCAGCGGACAGCGCCACAGCGGCCGCGTCGGTCGCGCCGACATAGCTGGCCGCTGCGCGCGCGAGAATGCGCGGGCTGGCGCGGCCGCAGAGATGCACCAGCCAACACCAAGCACCTCATCGCAATCGCCGCCCACGTTTTGCAAAACAAGTTGCGGGTGGGTGGGCGGGACGATTGCGAGAGCAGTGGAGCTGATAAATGCGAGTGCCACAAATGAACTGCACAATGCGTACACCCTGCGAAATGCTTAAGAAATCATGGGTTAAGAAATTCATAATCTCAGAATTTGAATAAAAACCCAGAATGTCGATCAAAAGCTTAGGATTTATATTGAAACATTAAGAATAATCGAGACTCTGGCCGAAAACGTAAGTTGTCTTAAGCATCGCCTAGGGCGTATACATACAAATATAGAGCCACATAGTACGCACGGCACAAAGCCACCACATAGATCGCCAGAAACACAACGTTCGGGGCCCACGCCGCCTGGCTCCCGCACTATGGAACATACTAGTATGCCTCCTCTTCGTCTTCGTCCTCCTCCTCTTCCTCCTCTTCCTCCTCCTCGTCCTCCGTCTCCTGCCTCCCCACCTCATCTTCCTCTTTCTGCTCCTCCTCCTCCTCCTCCTCCTCCTCCTCCTCCTCCCCCTCCTTCTCCTCATCCTCCTGCTCAATCGTCTTCCCCTCCCAAAGGTTAAACCGAGGGTTTCCACAACGGCTGGGGAATCAAGTCGTCCACTAACTTGTCCAGACTTCAGCCCAACGTTTGGCCGTATAAACGCTTCCAAAAGGCAGAGGGCAGCGGTGATTCGCCGTAGGTGTCTTCGATACATGAAATTCTGCCAATATCCCACCATCGGCCCTGCGACTGGCGAGCTGATCCAGACCTCTAGCTGGGAGCCCGCGGAACGCCCCGGTGTCCAGACCAACCCCCGCGACCCCCACCGCGGCTGGGACCATACTTCCATCCACCATCCACAATCCATCCACCCGTCCTTTTCCCACTCTGGCCCGCCGTGGTCAGCGCGTGACTCCACCGCCATCTGCCTCGCCCCTTCCTCCTCCGCTCCCTCGGCCTGCTCCTGCTTCTTTCTTCGCTCCGCTGGCCTGGGCGGCCCCCCCCCCACGCGCCCCCACAGAACCCTTGTTCCCTCGCTTGCGGGACGCGCGAAACTATGAAGGGGCCCAGGGACACACAAATGAATACACACAAATAAAAAGATTCCCATATGTTCCCATATTTTCTGTGTTGTTGTCTTCCCCCCCACTTCCCATCTTTTCCTATATTTTCTGGGGAGTCGACGATTATTTGTGTCTGTGTGTTTTCCCTCCTGAAGCCAGACGGAACAACCACCAACACCGCTTAAGCTGAAACCAATCCAGCAGACCGACCTCGGGGTGCGGCTGCGGCTCGGCACCTGCCGCGGCATCCCCCATGCTCCGCTGTGGCGTGTCTTGCCGACGGACCTGGTCGAGAAGAGGAAGGAGATGGAGGAGGGAGTCCTGGGCACCAGGCATGGCATGGGCTGCCCAGACGGCACACCTGCACACCCTCGAGCGGGCGAGAGTGGCGAAAAGTGCCCGTTGCATGCGACGTTGCCCTTGACTCTCGTGGCTCTGAAACTTCCGCTCTCCTGCAGGTGAAGAGGAATCAGGCCCCAGACCTCCGACGTCGCGATCTGTTCGTGGCACGGGTCCCCAGAGCTCTCTCGACCCCTTCATGGGACCAACTTGGATCATGCCTCGCTCCTCCACGGCCCCAGGACCAAAACTGATCCCCGGCACCCGGCAGCCCCAATTGATGCAAACTTGCCGCCTCTCTTCTTCTCTTCGCCACGAAAATACATACACGGACGCCCTCCGACGAAATGTGTATGTACCTTCAGGAATGGCGACCGTGTATAAAGTCACTGGTTCTCAGTAGTGACGTATACACCGACACCCTCCCCGGAGGCCCAGGAAAAATCCCTTGGAGGGAGTATGTGAATATTCTTGTGGCGGATTTCTGTGACCACACAGAATGGGAACGACGCACACTGGACGGGTTCCTGACGCCATCCCGAGAGCGGGCGGTGTGGCGCGCTCCACGCGCACGCGGAACTTCGTTCCGCAGACCGGTCGCGCTCAGCTCGGAAGCGAGCACAGACCCAGACCCCCGACGCCACGACTTTCCCACGACGTGGACCCCCAGAGGTCTCGGCCCATTCCCTGGGACCGGTGTTTCATCCCGAATCGTCGTTTGACAGTCCCGCGGCCCGGCGGGGGCCCCCGGAGGCCGAAGATATAGAAAAGAAGCCCTGTCGTGATCTTGTCATGACTCGACAGGGTCTGGGCGCTGGACAGGCGCGCGCCCAAAGCCCATGCTGAGACGCGCGGCTGCGGTGCTCGTGTGGTCCGGCCCCGCTGGGCCCCCACTGACAGCACTGGCGCACCAGGCCCACCGCAGGCTGTCCAGATTCCCTGTGACAGGGCAGGAAGAGCTGCCAAGGCCAGGGGGCAGGGGGTGAGAAGGCGGAGGAAAGGATGGTGGGAAGAGAAAGCAGGAAACGGGGAGGGGAAGAAGCAGCAGCAGGGAGGAGCAGGAGGAGGAGCGGCTTGAGGCCAGGAGGAGGAGGAGAGAAGTCCCATGGGGAGGCCAAACTGATGATACTGTTGTTGTTGATGACGATATTGCTGGTGATGTGGATGATGACGATGATGATGCTGATGGCAGTGGTGGTGATGACGACGGTGGTCGTGATGATGGTGATGATGGTGATGCTGTCGATGGTGATGAGATGGTTGTTGGTGATGATGGTAGTAGTGGTGGTGGTGGTGATGATGATGGTGATGGTGTGTTGATGATGATAGTGTTACTGAAAATAGTGGTGGATATGATCGTGTGCATGATGATGATGATAATATCGATATTGATGGTTATGTTGCTGGTGTTGTGATGATGATGTTGTTGGTGATGGTAGTGGTGTGATTGGTGATGCTGATGTTGCTGATGATCGTGATATGGTGTTGGTGATGCCGTTGGTGCTGTTGATGATGTTGCTGTTGTTGCGCATGGTGATGATAATGTTGCTGGGGTGGATGATGATGGGGATGCTGTTGTGTTGACGTTGGTGTTGCTGCTGATGTTGTTGTTGGTGGTGATGATCATGCTGCTGTTGTTGGTGCTGATCATGAATATGGCGATGGTGATGGTGATATTGATGTCGTTGCTGATGATGACCAGGAGGATTCCTGTATACGTAAGGTCATATCCTGATCTGTTTACACGCTTTCGCCACAGCCCGATGACGTCTACCTTGGACACGGAGCCTCGTTTCGAAGGCCTGTTCAAGGGCCCCCGGATCAAAAAATAGTCTCACATGATTGTGCATCCTAGGACATGCATCACGCGGGCAAGCGCACAACAGACGTCAAATAGCACAAAAGAGGTGGAGAACGGGGGGAAAGAAAACCAATGCCTCTCAGGAGTCTCCCCAGAAAAATCTCGGCCCATCCGACGGAGACACAAGCTGCGAAGTCCCAGACATACTCGGCAATGGATCTGGTTGTGGGGGTTCACGGGGTCGCTTGGCCCAGAGTAAACCACTTGACATCCATAGCAGCAGGAAGGCCTGGAAAAAAACACGAAACCTAATAGTACAAACCCCACGGCAGCAAGTGCGAAAGACTTCGGATCCAATGTAAGTGTTAGTCAGCTTGCACACAAAGAAAAACTGTCGAATACACAGAGGATCAATCACATATACATATATATATATATATATATAGACGTGCACGTACGGAATACATCTCTGCAGCCTCAAGAACAAGCTATCACGCGGGAGGATGCCAATGGGTGGTCCCACAAGGCGTGCAGCGCAACTCCTGGGCTGCAAATTCGGCGACGCACTCGAGAGAGAGGAGGCCACAGAGAAGGTCACATTAATGATGTCGGGCAGAGAGCAGAAGAACAAAGATCTGCACCCGCTATGATATCGAGAACAGCAACGGGCAAGAACACGATCCTCATAGTGAAAAGCATCACCAAGATCGTTGCGAGCCTGTTGCACCACGGAGCAAGAGGCAGCGAATCGTACTCGAGAGGCAGCTGAGAAACAGGTCAGCTCGTTAGCTTCGACGTTAAGCACCACGGATTGCAGCATGGAAAACATACTGCATGAGCAGAAGCGTCTAGGAGCAATCATAAGAAGTCGTAGACGTGTTTTATATTGCCTGAAATCGTGACCACGAGCAGGGTAGATCGGGAGAACAAATCGTACCACAGAGATACACACGGTCAGAAGTGATAAGAGCCTGCGCTAGGCCACGTCCCATCTGCCTGGGAGAGAAGGAGCGAGAGCAGAGCTTATTCAGTGGGTCACCCCAGGCAACATACCCTGCCCCAGGGTCAATGTCTATACCCAGATACGTAGCATGCCAAGCGAACCCACTTCCAGCTAGGTCATCATCGCACTCGCATGCACTCTCGCGCAGGAGCTCGAGATTGAGAGGGGGCACAAACAACAACCTGACAGTTCATGAAGTTCAGAAAGAGCTCACACGCAGGAGCGATGAGAGCAAGCACCGACCACACCCAGGAAAGCGAAATGAGTACATTACGCATGGCAAAAAGGCAGGCGTCAGCACGCGCAAGTGAACCCTGGTAACTGGTGGCATCAGGACAAGTAGAAGACACGAGTCATGGCCCGCTGCAGAAAACATGTCCCGCAGCTTGGACTAGATGTGACTGCATGCCCGTTGACGAGAGCGTACGTCGAGCGGCATGTCGCGGCGGCTCTTGATCTGGTGACTGGTCTGAGCCCGAGGCTCAGTCCCATTCATACGACAAGGAGAACAGCAACAATGTCTTGAAAACGCTTGGCCTCCAGCTCATTCGAAAACTCGAGGCTGCTGGACTTCGAGGTACGGCGGAAATTGTGAGTGATGGCGGTCGCAAGACCATGTGGAATGAGAGGAAAAACGACATTCCGATAGTGGAGCCGACGTTCGCGAGCGAAGAGAATCCGAGGGACGGCTCTATTCCAGCGACGATGTTTGCTGGGCGTGCCCACGGTCAGACCGTCCAGTCGCCGATACGTGGACCCACCAGAAACTGAACGCGCCGAGCCAGCACTCGAGAGCGCCGTCGAAGAGAAGTCTTGTATAGGTTCATTATCTACGAGGATGACCTCCGCGTCCGCCTCCTGAATGGCTTTGTTCTCAGCAGAACAGGTTCACACCATGTCCAGCGAGAACCCTGTCAGGTGAAGCGACTCTGGCGTGCGTGGCCTGGTTGGCGGTGGCCATCCTGTTCTTCAAGTTGTCCATGCTTACAGTGACCTCTGAGCGAAGCTGTTGCACCTCTTCGATATGAGTTTTGAGAAGTGCCGCCGTCTGATCATTGATCTCCTTGGCCTGCAGGTCGGGCAAGCCCTGGATCCGTGTCAGAAGGTTGCCCTCAGGCGACAACGCCACAGCGGCAGCGGCCTGCGTCGATATGGCTGTGCGCGCCAGACCACGGAGCGAGGAGGACGAGACCTATGGCAGCACCTGAGCTGCGCTAGCAGGGCCCCAGCCTGAGCCAGCACGCGATGTACTGGTACGGCTAACCAGGGTACGTCGCCACCTCGCAGCTTCTCCCCCCTTAGCCTTGAGCCAGAATGGCTTGAGCCGAAATTGCTACGGGTGATGATGGTTACGATGAGGAGGAGGAGGAGGAGGAGGAGGAGGAGGAGGAGGAGGGTGATGATGATGATGGTGGTTATGATGGTGATGGTGGTGGTGGCGGTTGTATGATGGTGGAGATGAAGATGCAGATGAAGATGTAAAATGGAGACGCTGATGATGATGATGATGATGCTGATGATGATGATGATGATGATGATGATGATGATGATGATGATGATGATGGTGGTGGTGGTGGTGGTGGTGGTTATGATGATGATGATGATGATGATGCTGATGATGATGATGATGATGATGATGATGATGCTAATGATGATAGTGATGATGATGGTGGTGATGGTTATTGCGATTATGGTGTTGATGCGGAGGAGGAGAAGGAGGACGACGACGACGATGATGATGATGGTAATTGTGTTGGCGATGGTGATGGTGATGATGATGGTGATGGTGTTGGTGATGATGATAGTGATGATGATGACGATGATAAGTATGAGGCTGACGGTGGTGATGATGATGACAGTGATGATGATGATAATACTAATAATGCTGATGTTGATGATGGTGCTGGTGTGTGTGTGAGATGGTGATGGTGGTGGTGGCATTATGATGGTTATGCAGAAAATGATGGTGATGATGATGGTGATGGTGTTGGTGGCATGATGATGATGCAGAGGATGATGGTGATGATGATGGTGATGGTTGTGGTGGCGGTGGTGGTGATGAGGACGAGGAGGAGGAGTAGGAGGGGAGGACAATGATGATGGAGAGGGGAAGGTAGAACGGGGCGCTGGCATTGGCCGACGAAAGCACCGCCTGCGCCGCGTTTAAAACGAGCACCCGCGCCGCACCAGCCAGCGTCAGCATCGCTGCGAGGAGACCTCGTCTCGTGCCAGGAGGAGAGAGAGGTAGGGGCCAGTGGAGGGTGCGGGTCTGGCCGAGGCTGGCGGGGCCATGGTTGGCGATGCGCCCACGGGGGTGGGGCGAGGGGGGCGGCCTTCGCTCCGCGGTGACTATCGGGCCGTAGCCCGGGCCTCCAGCAGCCGTTCGGGACGATCCGCGCACCCCCTGAAAGCTCTCAGCGAGGCGCGGCCGCTGAAAGGCATCCCGAGGCCAGAACGCCGCAGCGAGCCAACGGAAGCGTCAGAAAGCCTCGAGCCTCCAAACCTCGTGTGGTTGTTTGGTCGCCAGCCTCTTGGCAAGGACCGGGGGATGCCGAGACGGCTTTCCAGTAGGCGGGAGGGCTTCCTCAGAAGACCTCCCCGCTGCAGCATGCCGCACCGCTCGAGCGCCGCCCTCTTAAGCACCGCCGCCGCGCGAGGGCGGCAGGGCCGAGGCTCGGGCGGTACTCTCGGGGGCGGCCTGTCTAAGGGGCCGACTCGTGACGCCTCGGGGCCGGATCGGGCTGCCCCGCCACGCGATCATGGGCGTGCCTGGACCCCCTGCCGCAGACATGGAATGATCTGTGTATCATTATGTCGGGCCTGTCCCCATACAGGGGGATTCTCGACGAAAAAAAAAAAATACCCCCAAAATACCCCAAGAAGGTCAAAAAATACCCCGAAAATACCCCAAGAATGATCTGTGTATCACGGAGGGCCCCAGTGACGAAATTGCGGGATCACAGAGACAGGCAGCAACGAGAGGAGCGAGAAGGGTGGAGACGGAGAGGGGTGCCTAGGTGCCCATCAGACCGAGCAACCAGA